CTCCTCCTCCTCCTCCTCCTCCTCCTCCTCCTCCTCCTCCTCCTCCGTCCTTCCTCCTCCTCCGCCTCCTCCTCCTCCGCCTCCTCCTCCTCCGCCCCTGGCGGGCGCCGCGCGCGACGGCGACGGCGACGGCGACGGCGACGACGGCGGCGGCGGCGACGACGACGACGACGACGACGACGACGACGACGCCCGGGAGGGGGCGGGGAGGGGTCGGGCGCGCGGCGGACCGCGGGAGGGCGGGCCCCATCATCGGCGGCCCCCCCGCGCGAGGGCCCCGGGCCGCCTCCGGGGTACCCGGGTTCCCGCGGGAACCACCCCACCAGCAGTCCACCCGCCACCCCCCCGTGGCCGGGGCCACCCCCCCCGTGGCCGGGGCCACCCCCCCCGTGGCCGGGGCCACCCCCCCCGTGGCCGGGGCCACCCCCCCCGTGGCCGGGGCCACCCCCCCCGTGGCTGGGGCCACCCCCCCCGTGGCCGGGGCCACCCCCCCCGTGGCCGGGGCCACCCCCCCGTGGCCGGCCACCCCCCCCGTGGCCGGGGCCACCCACCCCGTGCCCCCCCCCCCCTTTCGGGCCCCTCGGGGCTCCCTCGGAGGCTCCCTCGGAGGCTCCCTCGGAAGCTCCCACGGGGTGGGTGGCCTCGGCCACGAGGGGGGTGGCGCTGGCCTCCTCCTCGCTTTTTGTTCAACGGCGATCCCCCCCCCGCCGGTCGACGACCCCCCCGAGGGTCGACGACCCCCCCGGAGGTCGACGACCCCCGAACCGAACCGCCCAAAACCGGACCGCCGCCCGACCCGAACCGGCAGAACCGACCGGACTCGCCAAACCGGACCGGCTCCAACCGGACCGGCGCCGAAAACCGAACTGGTGCAACCGAACCGGCCCGCCGCCGAACCGGCCCGAACCGGCCCGAACCGGACCCTTCCTGGGTCTGTGCGTGTGTGTTTTGGGACACTCAACTCTTCCAAAGACGTCTCGGCGTCCACCGTTACGTTGCCGAGGTGGTGGTCGGTGATATTGTTGGACTAGTGGCTGCGCCACGATACCGGGCCGGCGTGAAACGCAGAGGCCGAATCCTCCCCCGAGATGAGGTTCACGCATCTCCGTGATAAGACTCGGAAGACACGCCAGGGAGAAGCATCCGCAAACGAATACACACCGATTGCGACTTCCAACGAGAGGAAAATTCGAGTCTCTGGGAGCCCGCGGGTCTGGGAGCGTGCATCGGACGCCGCGGCCGTTCCACAGCGTTCTAGAGAGACGCTCCGAGAGCGCTCTGGAACGCCCCAGGGCGTTTGCAGCTCCCAGTCGGAGGCCTCGAGGCCTCCGACGTCACGATCCTGTTCATGGCATGGTTCTCCACGGGCCTGGAGCTCTTCCCCAAGGCCAGAGTCGCTGTCTGTCGGTCCCTGGGGCGGGGACCCCCGGGGGGCAACAACGCAGAGAAAACGTCCGCTGTGATTCTTGCCACGACGCGAGGGGATGTTTAGAGGCCTCCCAAATCAGGTAGGAGCAGATGGAGTCAGGGGATCGCGCCGCATCGTCGATGCATCACTGATGAGTCAACGATGCATCGGCGACGTCGGCGATGCATCAGCGACTTCGGCGCGAAGAAAGTTGGGCCCCACGTCGAACCGTATCGCTGGTGCATCGGCGATGCGGCGCGGCGATCCTCCGACCCATCTCTGATCGGGTCGGACCCAAAGCTGGGAGCAATCAGAGAGGGGTTTAGCGAGCCCGCTCAGGTGGCCGGACTCCCAGGCGCCTCCCGGCGCCAGGAGGCGCCACTGTATCGAGGGAGGCGCCTGGCGGCGGGGGCCGAAACAAGCAGCTGCACGCAGCAGACTTTGTCCCCCCCCCTCCCCATCCCCCCCACTGTCGTCTGCTACGATCAGACCACACCTGGGAGTCCTCTATCTACAGAGTCTGGGTGACCGAATCTCTTCTTCTGCCCCTCCCCCCGGCGTCCGGCGTCAGCAGCTCGCCCAGGTACTCGGCAAGGTCCTCCTCGTTCTCGACCACCTCCTGCAGGTCGGCCGGGCCCATCTGCAGCGGGGGGGGGGAGCTCCCCGACCTCCAACGATCTGACTTGTTCAACCCTGGCGTTGTTCCTCAACTTCGGCCTCCGGAGCCAGTTCTCGGGCCCCATGCAGTCAGTCAGTCAGTGGGCCGTGCATCCTGAGGACGCGTAGGCGAAAGAGCACATAAAAAGTTAGGGTGGTGCGCCAAAAGCGTCCCACATGCAGTCAAGAGCAGCCCGCCAAACGCGAGGGTGGTGCGACAAACACACACACACACACACGAGTCACAAACTTGCAAATACTTATTTTGCCCATTGTTGTCTTGGTCGGCCTTGCATGGGCCCCATGCAAGACCACACAAAAAGCAGATCCAGCGCGAAACACTGGCCCCGGGGAGGGGGTCGGAACCTCTGTGGCCGCGCATTGGAAAAAACATGTCGTCGGATGTCTCGGCTCGGCGCGGCGAGGCGCTTTTCTGGATTTTGTTTTTTCCTCTGCCGGGCGCGCGTGGATGATCTGGGGCCCACTCTGGACTCTCGGATCCAGGCGTGGCCATTCTCTCACACAAGGCGTTTTTCACTGGGTTTCGGGCCACAGGACGCTCCTAGATCGATCTGCTTCGAGAAAACCAACAGAACAGTAGGGTCTAGGGCTCAGGTCATTATTTCTCGCGATGGTGCGAACTTTTCGCAACGTCGGATCGCAGGGGAGGCCTCCAGAAGCTTCAGGGACATCAGAAGGCCTCCAGAGGCCTCAGCCTCTGGGCCTCGAGGCCCCGATCGGAGAGCCGCTGGTCTCCAGGTGAGCGACGAAAAGAACGGCGTCTTTCGCGAGGTAGCATAGCGACCTTACGCGGCGGCTTACGCGGGCCGCCAGCGCGGCACGCTGCATTGGAGACGAGGGCGCCTACGCGCGACAACGCGGGCAGCTTACGCGCCAATGTCGGCGAAGACGACCCCGTTTTCCTCCGTCGCGCAGGTGCTCCAGGGTTCCGAGCCTGCATGGAATCCTGCTCCAAAGGTGCCCGAGAACATGGCGTCGCATCTTTTCTTCACACCGGGCGACCTCGCACGGACTCGGGCCATGGGTCACGGATCGATCCGGCAAGAGGACTGCCGCAGAACGAGGTGGGACGCGCGGCTCTGACTGTGATGCCAGACGGTGTTGCAGTCTGTCCGCGACCTCAAATCTTAAAGGTCTAAGTTTCCAGGCTCCTCGGAGGGCCTGCAGCCAAGACGGCCCGCGCAGCTACCATGGAGCTTTTGGGCCTACGGTAGCTCCGCGGGGGCCTGTGGGGACCTCTGCGGGGCTCCGAGGAGCCTGCGGGGGCCCCCGCAGACGCGTCTGGAAGCTCCCAGAAAGAAACGGCTCCCGAGGGGAACGGGCCCTGAACCCAGGGGCCTTCTGCGCCACGAGAATACCAGGGGGCCACATGCGAACCCTACCCCTACCCCCCACGATTTCTGCGGGAGAGGGTGGGGTTCACTTCGTCTGAGAGCTCCCGAGCGAAGTGCTCTTTTGGCACCAAGCTCGCCAAAAGAGCATGGATGGGCCCTGAAAGAGCACCCCCGCATCTCCGCAGCCGCCTCCAAATCCTCCCCTTCGTCATGCTCCGACGACGACGACGGCGCTCCCGATGCCCGCGCGTGAGGCGGCCTCTCGGCACCACTCATTGACCTTGTCTACGTGCATGTGGATGCCTCCGAAGGGGGGGGGGGGGGGGGCGCGGCGTGGGCGGCGCTCCGAACCGAGCGCGACACGACGGCAGCGCCGACGGCGACGAGGGCGAGGGGGGCATCTCCAGAGACTGACCTCCCCCATTGCACTTCGAGGATCACCCCAGACCTCTTGGCTCACGAGGAGTCTCCTCCTCCTCCCAAAGGGCGCTGGAATCCTTGAAGACCTCAGGAGCCTACTATTGAATCATTCGCCACCGTGCCGCTGGGCACGGAGTGGGCGTGTCCTAATTCTCTAAGCATCACTCCTCACTCCTGAGGAGTCTGAAAGCTCCAGTAGGCCCCCAAGGAGCCCAACTCAGGCCAGACCCCCGAGAGTCCCAAGAGACCCCAAAGTCGAATCCAATAGGCTTCCGAGAGGCCTCCCAAGAAATCTCCATAGGCATCCTGGAGGCTTCTGGCCAACACTCCAGGCATGGTGGAGGGATAGGCAGAATGCAACTATGCGTATACATGCATATGTGTGTATCTATGTGTATATATATATGTACATGTAGACGCACCTGTATACACACGTGTGTACGTACATGCATACAGACATCCAAACATAAATACATAACTGTATGGTTACACATACACGCATACATACATACATACATACATGCATGCATGCATGCATGCATGCATGCATACATACATGCATGCATGCATGCATGCATACATACATACATACATACATACATACATACATACATACATACAACCAAACATACAAACATACATACAGACAGACAGGCAATCATACATACATGCCTACATACATACATGCATGCACACATACACACCTACGTACGTACAGACATACATATGTACATGTATGCATACAGGCATACATGCATACATGCATGCATGCATACATACATAATACATACACACATACACACATACACAGACACTCATACATACATACCAACAAACTTACAGACACAACTACATACATGCATGCATGCGTACACACACATACATACATACATACATACATACATACATACATACATGCATGCATACATACATACATACACATATGCATACATACGTATATGCATGCATACATGCATGCATACATACATGCATACAGACATACATGCACGCATGCATGCATACGTACACGCATACATACATCCATTCATATAAACAGCCATACACACATACACATATACATATACATATACATATACATGTACATGTACATATACACATACACATACACATGCACATACACATACATATACATACAAATATATACATACATACATGCATTAACAGCAGAAAGGCCTACAACTCTGACAGGCATTGAGGCGGTATTAGTCTCTGTCGCAGAGGCAGACCCCGACGATGACTCCCCGCGCGCCGCTGATCTCGCTGATGACAGTAGATTGAAGGAGTTGCGGCACGAGCGGAAGACATGCACGGACAAAGCGAGACGGAAAGAGTTGTCGAAGGAAATCCAAAGGACAGTGCGCAACAACCTACGCAGAATCAAAAGCCAGAAGATTGTCAAAATTCTCGGCGACTTCCGCAACACATCGGCGCTGTCTTCTGAGTCGGAATCGAGTCTGATCAGATCGGCCGCTCCAGGATCATCGCCGAAAAGTCGGGCCCAAGTCACATCGGGCGAGGCTGAAACACTGATGCCAGACCAGATCGGCCAGATCCAAATGGACCCCGCCTTGGGTGCCCGCACGAGGTAAAAAAGGTAAAGGCGCTGAGGGGGCAGGTCCACAGTCGATAGACCAAAAGTTTGAAATGCTCCTGCGTATGGGTATGGATGCAGGGCCTCGGCTGCGCGCTAGAGGCCTGCATGGGACGCCTCTCAGCGAGGTGCAGCGAAGGGGCCCCCGTGCAGGGAGCGGAAATTCCCAAAAACCAAGCAGCTGAGAAGAAATGTGGGCCGGGGGCGTGCTTGGCCACGAATCCGCTCTCGCAAGGCTACCGATCGATGGCCCGAACGAGGTGGAGGCGGGGGGGGGGCCTCTGGCGATCACCCAATCGGCCAGCCCGGGCACCTCCTCGTGCATGGCGGTCCAGCCCTTCATAGCCTTGGGATCGCCGCCGGCGCTGATGACCGCGTCCTGGGCCCGTGCGACCCACGCGTCCAGCATGGAGAGAACGGGTCCTGGAGAGAAGGGGTCCTGGGCACTGTTCCCCAATTTCGGGCCACTGGATGGCTCCACGGGCCCCGGGACCGTCTGAAAACAGCTCAGGATGAGGAGCTGGTCCAGGGGAACAGCCGTCGAGGCGAGGATCCATTTTCCTCAGGACCCCGTTTCCTTAGTCAAAGAACAATCCGCATAATCGGAACACCGGTCTGGGCAGCGCAGGGGGCGTATGCTTCGAAAGTCCGCGCCAGCGGCGTGCTTTTGGTTTTGGTCGGAGGCTTTGACACGACGTGTGCGAGAGGGAGGGGGGGGGGGCGTCGCGTCCCTCGTTTGCGTTTCCACGGAGGTTATGGTTCGAAGGTCGGGGGGGAGAACGAAGCGACCCAAAACTGATAAGTCGGTGTCGGTTTCGATTCGTGTCGCGCGTGCTCGCGAGGCCGTGGCGGAAGGCGTGACCAAAGCGTGGCCACAACGACGGACCAGTTCGTGCCAAGCGGAGGCGTGCCTGCAGGTGATGCTCTTCGGGCCGTGGGCCCCATGGCGTCCCCCTCGCCGCTCCTGCCTGACGACTGGGCCGACTCGCTCCCCATCGTGCGGAGGGCTGAGCGCCCAGGAGGATGGCGCCAGGACCGCGCCAAGGCCGACAGCGACGGCCAGAGCAAGGACGACGCAAGGTCTGTCAGCGTGAGCGGCGACACGGTACAGCAGCCTCCTGGCGAGGTTGGGGCGAACGAGGGTCTCGTTGCCATCTAGCGGCAGTCGGCGGCACTGGCTGCGCGGCTCGGGACGGCGCAGGGTAACCTCTGCCTACTCGCGGCGGCGGCTTCTGCGAGCGGCGTCTCGCTGTCCCCCGCGGAGCTCGACGTCCTCACGTCCGTGCAGGAGTTCATGAGGGCTCGTCTTCGAGGCCTCTATCCATCCTCCTGTTGGGCCTACCTGTCCACCCCAAGACGACCTCCTCGCGGCTTCAAGGGCCAGGCGATTGGCCTGGCCCACCTAGGAGTGATGACGCCCGTCGGTGTTAGCGCCAACAGGTCCAAGGGCGGTCCCAGGGCGTCAGACGTGGGTGAATTAGAGCCCCCAAGGCTACGTATATGTTCGATCTAAAGCTGTGTATGTGATTGAGTTGCCCCTCTATGACCCTGCACCCTCCTCCTTCTCCTGCTCCTTCTCCTGCTCCTCCTCCTCCTCTTCCTCCTCTTCTTCCTCTTCCTTCTCCTCCTCGTCCTGTCCCTCCTCCTCCTCCTCCTCATCATCGTCCTGCCCCTCCTCCCACGCCTCCTACTTTTACTCCTCCTCCCTCCTCCTCGTCCTCCTCTTTTCCCCCGAGAGCACGCCCGAGGAAGAAATCTCCTGTGGTGCGTTCCGGCTAGAATTCCTCTAGGGGGGCTCCAGCCGTGGCGCCGAGGATGCCTCCCCGAGTTGAGGTCGATCCTCGAGATCCGATCCTCGATCCTCAAGGTTCGGCCATCGGAGTTCCAGGTTCGACCCAGAAGACTCGATCCTCGAAATTCGATCAGCGGCCCTCCAAGCCTGATCCGTCGATCCTCTTCGAGGTCCGATGCTCGATCCTCGGTTCAAGTGCGACAAACGAGGAAGGTCAGGAAGAGGGGGGTCAGCCGATCATGGTCCGAGGCATGTCTGTGGACGAGGGAGGTCAGTGGGCGTGGTGAAATAATGACAGCTACAGCACGAAACTTGCAATGAAGAGAAAACATTGGTAATGAGGTGGATACGAAAGACAAGTCATGCGAAGAAGAGGATGATGATGAAGAGAAAAAGAGGCCACGGCATCTGGGAGATCTCATGGCCCCAGCCATGATACCACACACACACACACAAAGTAACACGCGCACACACACACACACACACACACACACACACACACACACACACACACGTCCTTCTGGCAAGCGCTCGCTCGGCGACGTGCTGGGTGGCAGGGCCAGGGAAAGCAGAAGCCAGTGCAAACACACACACACATGCACATACACAAACACTCACCTTTTTGGCGCCGCGGCCTCGCGCGCAGCATCGAGGCGTGGAACGTCCGAGAACGAAGGCGAAAGACCCATGCGGCCGACTCGTCAGAATATGTGGCAGGGACCCACACGAGGGAATCAACCGTGCAGTGCGCACACCCAGGCATGGGCTGCGGGGGGGAGAGATGAGAGAAGATGCCAGCACGCCAGTGGAGACAGCACCTGTACGGGCAAGGCGAGGCGAAGGGCCACCAGCACGCCTGGCGAGGCCGAGACGCAAGGCAGGACGGGACCACCAGCGCAGAAGCGGCAAGGAGGCGAAGACAGGCAGCCGCAGGAGGAGAGTACACAGACACACACACACACACACACACAAACACACACACACACACACACATACAAACACACGCAGAAACACACACACACACACTTGGGGGCGGAAGGCGGCGGCGCTTCTTAGAAGCAATCTGGCCCTTTGAAAAACCCTCCGTGGTTTCGGAGAAATTTGAAAGCTTCTCGGAAGGCAAGAGGCCTTCCCTCGTGAGAAGGCCCGCCCTCTCTGCCTTCCCCGTGGGCGCGTCGCCGACACATGCACACACACACACACACACACACCCTTTGGTTCGCGGCTGGTAGGTCCAACTCGGCGAGGGGAGCGCTAAGCAGTATACCACCGAGCGTGTCCAGGTGAGAGCCAATTACACCAAAAAACAAAAAAAAAAAAAAAAAAAAAAAAAAACACTGGATGGTTTTCGCTGAGGAGATCAACCGGGAACCCGGGAGCCCGAGAACCCAAAACCCACCGAAATCGGCCCAGAACCGATAACCGGTAACCCAGGAACCCGAGAACCCGGGAACCCGGCCTGCTGCCAAAGCCGGCGGGGAGCTTTCGCCAAGTCCTTCAGCTTCCGCCAGGACCCCTTCGGTGCAAGCACTGATTGTTTGACTTCTCGCAGCGCAATCCCTCTGGCCCCGCGGGAGGCCGGCACGCGCAGCGGCGACGACGCCGACCTCATCAGATGGGACATCGCTACTGGGCGCCGCATCGGGATCGACAAGGCCGCCACCAACCAGGCCTTCAGCACGGAGGCTGCGGGCGCAGAGGAAGAAAGGGGGGCACGACAGGGCAGGCACGCGAAGCGCCGCAGACGGCCCGCTCGGGGGCGGCACGGCGCGGCGACGGGGGGGAAGAGGATGCCGGAGCCGGCCCGCGCCGAGCACGTGTGGACGGCCCGGAGGGGAGCACAGCAGCAGGGGGCAGGGAGGAGGCGACGCCCGGGACAGGGGCGAACACGCACACACACGCACACGTACACACACGCAGGCGCAGACACACACACACACACACACACACGCACACACGCACGCACGCACGCACGCACGCACGCACGCACACACGCACACACGCACACACACACACACACACACCACACACACACACACGCACACGCACACGCACACGCACACGCACACGCACGCACGCACGCACGCACGCACGCACGCACGCACGCACGCACGCACGCACGCACGCACGCACACACACACACACACACATACACACACACACACACACACACACACACACACACACACGCACGCACGCACGCACGCACGCACGCACGCACGCACGTACGCACCCCTAGTCCTGAGCCCCCTCCTTGGCGCCACCCCCGAAGGATCTTCCCTGCCCATCCCCCTGGCTGAGGGACGACGTTAGGGACGACCCGGCTCAGGGAGGCCAACATCGACCTGGAATCGGCGATACATCGACGATAGATCGACAATAGGCTCCCGATCGCCAATCCGAGAACCGCGCCTGGCTTTCGGATCATAACTTGGCTCTCTAGCGGTCATTCGGGGCGATCTGGGCACCATCGGAACACCCTGGGCGAGGCGCAGCCACTAAAGGCACCCTGGGCTGAAAGACCTCCGAGAACCAACGAAAAAGTCCGATAATTTCAAATACCCGAGAAATTCGTCCCCACCTGAGCCTAGAGCCTATCCCCGCCTAGGTCCAACCACGACGACGACGACGACAACGACGACGACGACGACGACGGCGACGGCGGCGACGACGGCGGCGGCGGCGGCGGCAGCGACGACGACGACGACGACAAAGACAACGGACGACGAGACGACATACGACGACGACGACGACGACGACGACGACGACGACGACGGACCAACCACGGGCGCCCCCGAAGCGGGAGCGCTGTCCCACACGGGGTCGCTCGACGCCGTCCGCTCGGGCAGGGGCGCCGGCCCAGCGCACAGCCCAGGCCTGCCGCGAGCGGTGCGGCAGGCGAACGACGACGACGGCCAGCCGAAGATCGACGACGACCTAACGACCACGACGAAGACGACCTGAAGACGGCGACGACCAGACGACGACGAGGAGGATGACGTCGACGACCAAGACGACGACAGACGACGGCGGCTCGAAGTCGACGACGACGACGAAGGCGACGACGGCATGAAGACGACGGCGACGTCAACAACGACGGTAGACTGACTATGAAGATCCAGACACAGACGAAGACGACCTGAAGACGACGACGACGACAACGATGGCTGGACGATGGCTCGACGACGGCCTGGCGACGGCCTGACGGCGGCCTGACGACCGCCTGACAACGAAGACAACAACAACGGCGACGGCTTGACGAGGGCCTGACGACGACGGCGACGACGACGACGACGACCTGACGACGAGGGCGACGACGACGACATACCGACGAGGACGACGACGACGACAGCCTGACGAACGACGGCGACGGCAGCTCAATGACGACGACAATCGAGCGACGTCGACGACGACGCCAACGACGACGGCAGCTTGACTAGGAGAATGAAATCAAAGACGACGACTACGAAGACGAAGATGAAGTCGACGACGACGACGGAGGCGACGAGGACGACGACGACTACGAACAAGACGACGACAACGGCGACGGCGACGACGACGACGACGGCCTGCCGACGGCCTGACGACGGCCTGACGATGGCATGACGACGGCCTGACGACGGCCTGACGACGGCATGACGATGACGACGACGACGACGAACACGACGACGACGACGACAACCACGACGACGACGACGACGACGACGAACACGACCACGACGTCGACGACGACGACGACCAGACGACGACGGCTCGACGAACGACGCCGACGGCGGCTCAACGACGACGAGGACGACGACGACCTAACGACGACGACGGCGTCGACGACGGATACCTAACTACGAGAACGATGACGACAAACGACGGCGAAGAAGACGTCGTGAACAACGGGGACGACGACGAAGACGACGACGGCGAAAACGACGACGACGACGACGACGACGACGACGACGACGACGACGACGACGACGACGGCGCGACGACGACGGCGTCGACGGCGGCCTAACGGCGTCTTGACGAACAACGGATACTGCAGCTCAACGACTACGACGACCCAACGACGAGGACGACGACAACGACAACGACGACAACGACGACAACGACATAACGACGACGACGACGACGGCGACGACGACGACGGCTCAACGACGACGACAACGGAGCGACGAGAACGACGACGTCACCACGATGGCAGCTTGACTACGAGAAAAAAACCGAAGACGACGACAATGAAGACGAAGACGAAGATAACGACGAGGCCGACGACGACGACGAAGACGACGACGACGACGGCCTGACGACGTCCTGACGACGTCCTGTCGACGGCCTGACGACGGCCTGACGACGGCCTGACAATGACGAAGACGACGACGAAGACGACGACGAACACGACGACGACGACGACGACAGCCTGCCTACGACACGAGAACCGACGACGAGGTCAACGATGTCGACAACGACGGCCTAACGACGGACTGACGACGGCCTGACGAGGGCCTGACAACAACGACAACGACGACGACTTCGACGCCGACGATGGCTGCTGATAGAACGACGACGATGCCGACAACAGTGCCGACGACGACGGTACCGACGACGACGGCGACGACAACAACATTGCCGACAACCTGACGACGACGACGACATCGACGACAACGGGTGCCTGACTAAGAGAACGACGAACACACGACGACGACGACGACGACCACGACCACGACCACGACGACGACGACGACGACGACGACGACGACGACACAACGACGACGACGACAACAAACGACGACGACGACGACGACAGGGTTGACGACGACAATGATGGCGTCTCAACGACGACGCCGACGACGCCGTACTAGCAGAGACGTCGTCGTCAACGAGGACGGCAGACGGAGCCCGAGGACGACCCCGACGGCCTGACGATGGCCTGACGACGGCTTGACGACTGCCTGACAACGACGACGACGACGACAACGACGAAGACAATGAATACGACCACGACGATGACGACGACGACAATGCCGACTACGACGACCACGACGACCTAACGACGACGAAGACGACAACGACGTTGACGACGACGGATGCCGAAGTACGATTACAACGACGACGACGACGACGAAGACAAGGAAAGCGGCGAAAACGACGACGACGATGACGACCGCGACCTGACGACGACGACGACGACGACGACGACGACGACGACGACGACGACGACGACGACGATGACAACGCCGACGACGACGACGACGACGACGGCGACGATGACGACAACGGCGGCGGCGGCGGCAGTGGCAACAACGGCGGCCCCAAGCCTCGCTGCGGATCAATGGTTGTCCATTGCGGCCTTCAGGGGCCGTCCTTGGGCCCTGGAAACACAGGAGCGGATCTCGCATGGAAAACTGCCCCTTTCAATAAGAAACTGGGTCTCTTGGCGGCCGCGGATCGAAGAAGTCAGATCGCCGGATGCCTGGGCCGACGACGGCGGCGACGACAGCGACTGCGGCGGCGGCCTCCGTCCCACCTCCCCCTCCTCCTCGTCCTCGCCCTCGCCCTCATGCCATCTCCTCCTCCTCCTCCTTCTCCTCCTGCTCCTCCTCCCCCTCCTCCTCCACCTCCCTCCCTCCCTCCCTCTCCCTCCCTCCCTCCTCCTCGAGCGCGGTCATTCATTCGCGGCGATAACGGGCGTTGTGGAGAGGGGCAGGGAGAGGGAGCATGACGTAACGCCCCCCCCCTTCCGCGCGCACGACGACGACGGCGACGAGCGACGAGCAACGAGGACGAGGACGAGGAGGACGAGGACGACGACGATGACGACGATGACGACGACGACCTAACGACAAGGACTACGACGACGACGACGACGACGACGACGACGACGACGACGACGACGACGGCGAGCCACGGCGAGCGACGGCGAGCGACGGCGAGCGACGGCGAGCGACCACGACTACGACGACGACGAGCGACGACAACAACAACGACGGCGACGACGAGGAGCGACGCCCGGAGGTTTCGCAGGCCTCCAGAAACCTCCAGAAACTCGAAGTCCCCCAAGACTTAAGAAGCCCTCGAATGCAGGCGGCGACGACGACGACGACGACGACGACGAGCGACGGCGAGCGACGACGAGCGACGACGACAACGACAACGACGACAGCGAAGACGAGCGACAAGCAACGAGCGACGAGGACGACGTCGGCGTCGAAGTCGACAACAACGGCGACGGCGACGACGACTACGACGAGGACGACGACGACGACGACGATGATGACAACGACGACGATCGACGACAACGACGACTACCGAAGTGAAACGTGACATCCGAGAAATCTGTTCGTTTCGCGCGCGACGCGCGTGCGGGCGAGGCGAAGCTGCGCGAGTCCCCCTGCTGATAGAGGGCAGATCAGATTTCCATTGGGCGCCCCGTCTCCAGTCCGTGGCCCCAAGGCGGCTCCCCATTGTCGCGACGATTGTGCCGATGGTTGTTGTGATGGTTCTCCCAATGGTTGTCCCGATGGTTGTCCCTGTGTTTGCCTAGATGGTTGACAAGATGGTCGACCCGACGATAGTTGTCCCAACGGTTGTCCCAATGGTTGCCCAGACACCTGTCCCGACGGTTGTCCCGATGGTTGTCCCGATGGTTGTCCCGATGATTGCCCGGATGGTTGGCGCGACGGTTGTCCCGATGGTTGCCCCGATGGTTTCCTGTTAATTGTCCCGATGGTTGTCTGGCGAATTGTCCCGATGGTTGTCCAGAGGGTAGTCCCGAAAGCTAGGTCGTGATATTGACAAAAAGGTAATGGATACTGGAACTGATAGCTCGATGATAGATGGTTGCCCGATGGTTGTCCCGACGATTGTCGCGATTATTATCCCGCCGGTTGCACCGATTGATCCACAGTGGCAGCGCCTGACGCGTTGATAATGAGATCGGTATATGAATATAGATAGATCGTAAAGCAAAACGATATACGGCATACGCGAACCTGCAGGTGATTACGGAATTGGGGGGCGACATGAAATTCGATTAGCGACAGCCGGAGGAAGGGGGGGGGGGGGGGAAACGCACGAGGGGACACTCATCGGAGCATCAACAATGATGTCCGTACGCATACATCTGCAGACATTGTGTCGTAGACCCTGTAAGGATCCATAACAATGCAGCATGTGAGACGTATCATAGTCGTAAGCATATACAAAACATGTATGTATACCTATACGACCACCCTGCGGGTGATAAGGAGGTTGGGGGGACAGCAATGGGCAAAAGTGGTGATTGTTGTTCTGACGATGCCTCTGGGGCGGACTCTAGTGAGTAGTGTGATTGTGCACGCGAACGTGATGTGATGTGGCGATATTGGCGAAGCGCACTCGACATTGTCGCGAAGCGCTGTCCACGCGTGCGCTTATCAATCCTGCGGCCCAGCCACAAGAGGATTTCGGGACATCAGCGGGACACCGCGCGCCACCGGCCGCCGGAGGAGAATCATTTGCTCCTGCCGCGGCCCAGCCACAGGAGGATTTCGGGACACCAGCGCGACACCGGCGGGACACCGCGGGCCAAGGGCCGCCGGAGGAGAATCATTTGGTCCGGCCGCGGCCCAGTCACAAGAAGATTTCCTCTCGCCCGCCCACGCAGCTTCACCTCGCCCGCACGCACGTACGCACGGCACGCCCGACACGAACCCGAAACCGAAATCGATTTCCCGGCAGGGGGGGTCTCCGTTTCACGTTGGACTCATGCCCCAACCTCCTATATATATATATATATATATACTAGAACCATCGCGCGCGCTTCGCGCGCGCTCAGGTTCTAGCCCAGGCCGGGGGCGCGCTAGAAGATCTTGGACAGCGCTATCAAGCACAGGCGCGTGACATAG